AATTTATTTATGCATACAGAACTGGGGTCAGAGGTGCAGGGGGTGGTGAGAGATTCATCAGAGACAGAGTGGGGAGCAGAACAGGCAGATTGACAAAGTGCACTGCTAAAGGAGAGGTCTGCTGTGCCATATAGATCACCTCCGGGGCAGGGGGTCAAACTCATGCTGAAGCAGCTGCAGCTACGTTGCAGTGCTGTGTCCTAATCTGTTGTGCCACCAGGGAGGCCCACTTAACATGAATTTATGTAAGATTTTAAGAATGCTAGGAAGGGAGAAAAAACTAAATTTAATAGTTCAGGCTGTTCCTCAGATTTGCACCTTTTGTGCCGATCCTTAGAAGAGTTGCAGGGTAGGCACAGGGGATCCTGAGGGATTAGGACTAAATGGTGTAGTTACGGGTCCTCTGATAGCTGTTTGTTATGGTTTCAAGGGACCAGTTTGCTTTTCACACTCTAATAATGAACAATTTGGTATTTCTCACTTGACTTAGTTGCTGAGAAGGAACTGGAGAACCTGGAGAAGTGGAAGGAGCAACACAGAGCAAAGCCAATTAACCTGGCGCCGAAGAGGCTAGGTAAGCCTGCAGACCTGTTGTCTGAAAGGGGGAGCACAGGGCCACCCACGGATCCTGTTAGCACCTCACCTTCATGTATTTGAATGGATGGTGTAGGTTGTTGGGTCACTATTGCTTGGAATGGTATGAATTTAATGTTGAAACTCTTATTAAGTATGCAGAAATGTTGTTCTTGATTTTCTGGAAGGATCAGATATGAGATGTCACAGTGAACTGGGATACAAGCACTGGCTTAATAGCCAAATAATTCAGAGCCTCTTGAATAAAGATCAGCTCTGAAGAAACTTATCTGGGGGCTGCATACACCTTGTCATAGCCAGGGGCGGGAGGGATGGTGTGGAACAAAAGCTATTACAGCATATTAATCATGGCAGTTAAATGACATTATGAAAAATATTAATGGAGAGTCAATCGTAAAGCCCAGATGAGAGTGAAGTAGGGACTCAGTGTTGGGAGTAAAGAGTCACATATGTATTCACTATACAAATAGAGACCCCTAGGCTTCTGCTGGCCTCCTGCCCTACAGAATCATCTGCAGATGCTTGGATCATTCAGTGGGGATGCCACCTTATGGGAATCACTCATATCCTTGCTTCCCTTTTCTGTTCCATCATCAGCTGAGAAATTAAAGAGCTGGATACATGATTTCCATAGATTTAGTTATTACAGAGTTAGAAGTCACTTACTATCCCAGTAATTTTAGAGAAACATTTTTTCCAGGTGAAAATAAATAAGCTAATTGAAAATCATGTTATGAACACAATAATATTATCAGTAACATCTCACATTTTTATGAAAGGTGTCAATGTCATCTTTATGCTGGAAAAACAATACAATTTGAGGGATTGAACCAGAAAATAGTTCTGTCCTTCCCAAATGAGTCCTTCAAAACAGCTATTCTAGACTAGTTTTTCTCATATTCTTTGTGTGAAATTAGATTTTTGTTTGTTTTTCTCAAATAATTCAGTTTTCCAGCAAATTCTAGGTACAAACCTTTCCCAATCATCACTATTCAGTCTTACGCACTGGTCAACATTTGGTTATTAATGGGGATTACAGTTTCCCCCTTCTTTGGCCCTGGACTGCTTTTGGGTTGAAAACCACAAAGGATAAAAGGCATGGCTGAAATTTTCTCCATTGAGATTCTGGCCCTTTCCAGGTCAAAGGGAGAAGGGGAAACTAAGAGCTAAGGGGTCCCTAATGCACTGATTTCAGTTTCTTACCGCACCTCCCCCTCCCAGGATCTGTGTGTTCTGCAGGTCCCTGCTGCCAGCCATCTGGCCATCCATCCCTCTCCAGGGGTTTCCTAAAAGAGATGACACACTTTCTGCTGGCAGCACTAGGCCTCCCAGGTGGCCCTTTTGGCTGCCTTGCCGGGCTGGATTGTTACTCTACGTGGCCTCCTGGGCACCTTAAATTGGCCCCTCTCATGACAACTCAGATTGGGAATATAGAACCCAGGCTCTTTGTTAGCAGCCACCTCTTGGTGGTGAAATGTCTGAGTAGCGATCTGAAGACAGCCTTAGGCCTTTAGACTTTGCCTTTTCTGGGGTAAGTTCCCTAGGATCCTTAGTTTTGGAGATTATAGTTTGAGATAGCCAAGTAATTTTCTTTAAGCCTTTCTTGTTCATCTTGACATAAAGATTCCTTCTTCCCCAAACATGACCATAGAAATGGAGTTCACAAAGACATTTTTTCCCAGATTCCCAGTCTTTTTTTTTTTTTTTAATTTATTTATTTATGCATACAGAACTGGGATATAGGGTAGAGGCACAGGGGCAGTGAGAAGATTCACCAGAGACAGAATGGGGAGGAGAACAGGCAGATCAATGAAGTACACTGCTGAGGGGAGCAGTGGGCGGGTCAGGAGAGGTCTGCCACACTACGTGGACCACCTCCCTGGCCAGAAATCGAGCTCATGCTGAAGTGGCTTTAGCTGTGTAGTGCTGTTCTTTAACCCACTGTGCCACCAGGGAGGGTCCCAGTCTCTTTTGATTTCATCAGCCACATCTGTAGGGCAAAGGAAGTCGTAGTTAAGGTTCCCAAACTGGTTTTCAGTTACCCCATGAAAGGGCCCTATTTCTTCACTTGGTATTTGGAGTATTAGCACCTAGAGTCTTAGAACCTTAGCTAAAAGTGAGCACAAAGCTCATTGTAACTTTCTGTTATGGGATGTATCTAGCAATAGCCATTAATATGTGTGTAGGAAGAGACTGGGCATTAAAAAGAAAAATCTTGAATGCAGTGAACATTCAGATGAGGTTTGAACAAAACTTACAAATACTTAAGTATCTTTTGCCATATTTTTCTAATTCTCAACTCTTCTGAGTTTTCTATACCTTAAAATATCAGCATTGTTGTAGGAGATACTGATAGTAAAGGTAATATTAGATAAAAGCTTCAACAGTCTTCACTCTCTCATCTCCCAACCCCATTACCTATACCAGAGACAGAAGTCCAAAGATACACAGGCATTATTTATCTTTTGAGATTTAGAAGAAAAGTTGCCCATAGTGTCTTTATCAGTTCAATTACAAAAATTATGGAGAAAACAAGTTGTTCTAATGTATCTTCTGTGAGAATGAATCTTGCAGAGAACAGACAAGATTTTTGACCAAAGCACAGGGAGCACTATTTCAAAGGGATTCTTGTGATTCAAACACCAAGCTTACATAAACACTGAGAGATCCCTAAACCGCAATTGTTAAATGACTCTCAACCTCTTAGGATTTAATTAGTGTGTACATATATAATGTAGCACTCATATTTTTCCTTCGAATATCTAAAGAAAAAAGTGGATAGTATGAACTGATAGTTACTAGCTAGAATATTTTCATTGTACTTTTAAGAATATAGCTGTAAAAATTATATACTTGTCTAATGGCAAACCCCCTGAGAGCTGTTTGAGTTTTGCTACTTGAATATAGGGTAAGAGAGTCAAAAGAAGAATAGTAATGGAAGTGTCATTGAATAATCATATTTAAGCTGGAGGACTCTACTAGAATTCAGGACAGGCTTTATTTCTTATTTAGCATAAATGTTCAGGTATGATTTCAATCTACATGAAAACTTGAAGGCTTACATGATTGAAAATCACATGATTGAAAACCCTTAGAAGGATCATCCCTGTCTTTCAAGAATATGGCTGTGTACAGTTTTTTCTCTCATTTTTATTTTTTGAGGTTGTACTGGTTTACAATACTGTATATGATTCAGAGGTATAAGATCACACACTTTAGGTATAAGTTACCACACCATGCCAACACCACTGTATTCTCTTTTAAACAGTTACCATATCTAAATTTTTTATTAAGAAAGCTGGTTTTGTCCTGATTTCTAGGTGGATGAAAATGCTAAAAAAATTCATAGTATAGACATAAAGTGTATTAATTAGTCCTTGATGGCTGACATTTCAACTTAATATTCATGTTTCACCTTTTTGACTATTTTTTCCCCTTAGGTGGAAGCCAATCAGAGGCTGAAGTCAGGCAGAAACAACAACTACAGCTGATGCAATACAAATACCAGCAAAAGGTCAGAATCCATCTCTTTTAGTTTAATTTTGGCAAGGAATTTGAATAGCAGCAGTTTCATGTAAGCATGAAATTACACAGTAACTTTACCAAAAGCATAAAACCTTTCAACCAATTGCAAAGGAAAACTCTCAACATCAAAAAATAAAACAAACAAAAAATAAAACAAACAAAACAAAACAAAAAACACAAAAAAAGCAGGATGTGAGAAATAATTAGGTAAATATCCAGAATTCTTATCCAAGAGATTTATCAGTCAGCAGGATCCTTGACTAAGAATTTTTTTTAATTTAACTTTAGTATGTTTTGAATATTTTGTTTCCAAGAGCATGGATTTGTTTACCTCATGAAAATAGTGCAAAAAGAAAGATCTAAGATGTACAGTGATTTCCAAATAGACTCCAAGTTTTACAACATGGCAATGGCAAAATGATTTGCCCTTCCTCCTTCCTACCTTAGGGTGGTGGGAAAGTGGGGAATGACAGAAACCAAGAAATACAAAGAGAAATTTTATGAGCAGGGGGGTGTAGCCTGACTGTTCTCTGACCAAAGTAGCCTGGCTACAAACCTATAATCAGTTAGAGAGAGCACGAACAATACCATCATTTGCTGTTCATCGTAATTTCGTGTTCCAGAGGTTCCCAGTGAAAAACTAACTATTTTGTTCTCTGTGATCTCAATATGATTTAGCTAAAAAGAGAGGAATCTAAAAGAATCAAGAAGGAAGCTGAAGAAGCTGAAATAAAAACAATGAAGATGGTTCAAAGAGAGAAGGTAAAGTGGGAAAAGGATGGCTAGCTCACATTTAATGAGCACTTGGGATGTACCAGTTCTCTTCTAGATGCTGTACATATTTTAACTCACTTAATCCTCACACTAACCCTATGAAGTGTGTATTATTCTTAGTACTCAAGTTTGCTAGTGAGAAAACTGACACAAAGGCTAGATTACTAACCCAGGCTCAGAGTCATCCCTGCATAGGGATGTAAGGCTCAAGTTCAGGCGTACTGACTTCTGGGCTAGAGTTCGTATCACCACATGGTCGAAACGACCAGGTTAGTGCTCAAAACGGAAGCTGTATATTTGGCTTCATGGCAAGGCAGTAATAACAACAGCAATCAGTGATATACTTCCATATTTACATATACATATTGAAATTTCCAGGGTATGAAAACATAAATGTATCTTCCTTACTGATAAAGAAGAAGTGTGAATTTGCATTTCAGTATTAGTGAGGCAGTGTATTCTCAACCTCGATGTTTAAGGCTTTGATACTCATTTGGGCCTTAGGAATGTTTTCAGAAATACTCATCTGCAAAAGGGTCCCATTCCTCCTGTTTTCTCTCCTTCTCATGTCCTAGGCAGTGATAGTTTTCAAATAGTGAGATTTGACGGTAAGAGGACTTCTGATACTGAACACCAAGTTGATGGCTACTGCAGTTTTATGTCATGGAGACACAAGCTCTATTTCTGTTGTCTGTCTACAGATTTCTCTCTGTCCCTCCTTCCATTGCTTTCAGATCTTCTTTTAAAGATTAAGTGTGCACCCTCCCCTGTGGTGCAGTGGGTTAAAGCAGCACCACAAAGCTAGCTGCAGCTGTTTCAGCACAAGTTTGACCCCTAGCCAGGGAGGTAACCCACATAGTCTAATGAAATGCTGGAGGTATTAATAAACAGTATTTATAAAATTTGATTCAGCAATCTATTTCCAGTTGATCGAGCAGCTATATTCTTTGAACATATTTTTGCTACAATACTATTTTTAAACCAGTCTTCCTTGCTTTATACTACAAGAATATACTCTAGTCTATATTATTTTTGATTCAAATTCTTTTCCTCCCTCCTCATTTCTTTCTTCAAAGGTAGGTTCACACTTGGATCCTGTGATGGTAGAAGAGGTTTCTTTACAAAGCATATATCTATATTTCAATTAAAAAATTTTTTTTCAATTAAGAAAATCATCAAATTATAACCTGGGACTGAAGTAAAAAGCTTGTAGATCTTGGATGATTGAATTACAACCTCTTATCCTAAGTCATTTATAAGTTGTTATTTAATGGTCTTGCTTGTTTGACTTGTGGGTCATGTATAGCTCATTTCTTCATAGATCAGATAATGTACACTATTCAGAAATGTTACTGGTGGAGTTAAAGCAACATTTCCCCTTTTTCACAACAGGCATCGACTACAGACATTTCAATGACTTGACATTTTTTTTTAAAGATTTATTTATTTATCTGTACAGAATTGGGGTACAGGTCAGAGATGCAGAGGGCGAGAGGATTCAACAGAGAGAGAGTGGGGAGCAGAACAGGCAGGTCGACGAAGTACACCGCTGAGGGGAGCAGCGGGCGGGTCAGGAGAGGTCTGCCTCACCATGTGGTCACCTCCGGGGCAGGCGGGAATCGAACTCATGCAGAAGTGGTTTAAGTTTCTTTGTGCTGTGCTTTAACCCGCTGCGCCACCAGGGAGGGCCTGACTTGACATTTTTAATGTGATAACTGTAATGATCATTGTTATAAATTTGCCCAAAAGTGAGAGGTGGGGAAAGAATTGATATGTAGAGCCTTCCCATTCAAAGTGTGGTTCTCAAACCAGCAAAACCAGTTGTTAGAACTACAGAATCTTGAGGCCCAGCCCACACATATTGAGTCAGAATCTCAACTTAGCAAGCTTCCCAGGTAACTCTCATGCAGGTAAATATTAGGAAGCATGAGTCTAAACTTCCATAAAGAGAAAGAACAGCCAGCCTGGTCCTTCCATAAACTTGATTTTTCTGTCTAATTGGCCTACACTGCCATCATGACCTAGCCCTTCTGTGTGCAAAAATCTGTGGCTTTCCAGACTAAATGTAAGTCTGTTGAGCAGCTTGAGAGAAAAGAAAAATGGACATTAGCCATCCAGAAGTGGCATATCTCACATTGCCAGTGTGAAAATGAACAAGGGACATGATAATAGCCAGGTTTAGGGAGCACTTTTTCTTTAAAAAGGACAGCAAACATACACGTGGATAACAGCCTGCAGAATACTCTCCTCCTCCTCAGACAAGTGGCTGCTGTGCAGGGACTCTGAGCCAAGTAGAATCCAAGTGTATTGCACCCAAGAGCCCATAATTGGCCTCTGGTCTGATCTCCCTGGCCCTTCAATTTTCCCTCTCCCAAAAGGGATCAGCAGGGAACACTCCTCCTAATTGTTCACCACCTATATTCCCAGCTAGCACTTGTGGGTATTCTTTTATCTTTAATAAGCACAAATGTACAAAGGACAACCAACTCTTCAGCATCTGATCATGTCAGTGGGGTCCAATTAATCCCATGGTAAAGGGGAAGTTCAGAGAGGACACTGGGATGCTGAAGTCAAGCTCGCATTCCTTGATGAGACCATGCTGATCCTGTGTAGTTTTTCCAGGGGTCTAGTGGAGCTTCCTTATTCCCACTCATCAGGGTGGATTATTCAATTTTCAGAATTTTTGTAAGCTAGTGGATTCTTTTTTGGTAGCTTCAAAGGGACCATGGGAGGAGTATTTTCACCATGGAAATAGGTAAATGTGACAACTAACATCGTCTCTTCCTTTTAGAACTAGATGTTAAATATATGTCAGCTCACCACTGCTTAGCCTGGAGTGAAAGGGGTTCTCCCTCACCCTTACCACCCACATTCCAAAGCCAAGCCTAAGAAAGGCAAAAATTATGAAATATTTGGTGTTATTATGTATCTGATGCTTACAAATTTCAAAATAAACTATAAGGCATGTGGTAGTTAGTATCCTGAAACCCTCTCTCTTTCCCCAATTTCTAATCCACAGAACCAAATAATATGTTATGTGGCCAAGAACAATTAAATGTGGAGGTGGAATTTGCATTCCTAGTCAATTTGCCTTCCAGTAGGGTGTAGCCTGCATTACACAGGTGGGATAAATGTAACCAGAGGGTTCTTAAGTTAGAAGAGAGACAGAGACCTCAGTGGGGTCTTTAACATGCCTAATGCCTTCAGAACTGTAAAGCCACGAATAACTCTGTATCATTTTATGATACTAAGGTTTGGGCTATTTGTTACAGCAGCAATAAGAAATGGATACAATCCTTGTGCTTTTATAATGACATTTTTATTTCTTTCTCTAGAAATTGTATATTGCAGAGAAAATATCTCCAAAATATTAGAGCATCACAGGAAAAGAAAGTTGTTAAAAAATAAAGGCAGTATATTAGATGAAAGTACTTTGCCTGTGGACCCTGCTGCATAGTAGACAAGCTTGCATATATTCTCACAATAGGTCACCCAGACTTAGTGCTGTGGGTTGAATCTCCACCTTGATTTTTTTCCTTCCTAATCACACCAGTGAATTAGGCAATAAATTCTTTCCAGACTTTTATAATATTCCAAAACTTAACCAATCTTTTCAGTGCTCTCTGTTCAAACCTTTTGTGCAGTGGGCAGCTCATTCTCTGGATAACAGTAGCCAAGTTCCCATCACCTCCTTCTCCCCCATGAAAACCTCTGTCTTGTTTAAGATTGTTCTCTATCTAGAATTTCTTTCTTTCCTTAGAGCCATGCAAATTCTTCATTTAGTGTGTCTTTTGGGGAGTCTAAGGAAAGTTATGAGCCTACTGTCCATAAAAACAGTGCTAACATACAAGTCACCTATGAATTTAGGTTAGAAACAACAGCTTTGAGGGTTATTCAGCTCCTTCTCCCAAGTCCCTGAGAACCTGCATTCAGACTCACTTACCAGTATGAAACTGCTGAGAGCATCTTCCACACCTCTGTTTCTATGCTTTGTTTTCTATTTATCTTACACTATCTGCAAGCTTCTATCCCTAACTTATTTTACATACTGCTGACATTGTTCTTGAGTCCATATTCCTAGTAAACTTTGGAAAATTTTCAGGTACTTCTCAGTTCATATTTTTATTCTTGGCATCTAATATAGTACTAGACATGTCATAGACATTTGATCAATATTTATTGAATAATGGATACTTGCCGATGTATTTTCCAGTTAATTAATTTTTGTTTACACATATTGGAGCTGGGGTGTGGGCCAGAGGTGCAGGGGGTTGGTGGGAGGGAATACAACAGCGAAAGAGTGGGAAGCAGAACAGGCAGATGTATTGAAATCACTGTTGAGGGAATTAGCGAGACTGGAGAAGTCTGCTGCGCCATGTGAGTCACCTCCCTGGCTGGGGATCGAACTGCCACAGTGGCTGCCCGATAGCTTGATTGCGCTGAGACAACCCCTGTGCCACCAGGGAGGCCCCTACACTTGTTTATTTAATACCACTCAATAAGTGATGGTAAGCCTAGAATTAATTCCACAATTTCTCCTTCAGGATCTTATGTTCTTAGATATTTTATATTCTGTGCATGTATGTCTGTTTTTGCATGTTTATGTGTATGTGCACACACATTTGGGTGACTCTTTAACTCACTGTTATGTGGAAAGGAACAAACAGATACTAGGTTCTAAACCCAAGTAGCTAGAATCAGTAACTACATTGGTAGGTAATAAATACAATTCTTCAAATATTCCAACATTTTGCCAAAATACTCCTCTATCAACTTTTGAGGGGTAAACAGATGTTTGGATAGAATTTAGTTGCTATATATTTGTTTATGAGTTGAATTCCATATTAACCTGTTAGTAAAAAGACTAAAACTTATTTTGCACATTTTGGACCTTGCTAAGGAATCCAGCCTTCACATTTATGTGATTTTTCTCTCTAGCATTCGACCAAGTAGCATTCCTAGTATTGGTTTAATCAATATGTACTGTTTGCTTTCTGTCTTTTACCCTTTTGAATTTTTTCAGTGGTATGTGGAACTCATTACATGAGTCAGGATTTTTCTTCTAGATTGAGATCATGCTTACTGTTTTACAGTTTTCCATTAGTTGCTTCCTAGAGTTCTGTGTTTCATTAATAATCCAGTTTCTCTGTATTATAATCAATTCCCTTGGATTGTAATAAATTTGCTTTTTTTCTGCTGAAACTGAAATCCTCCATTTGCCTTTCAAAATGAAACTAGTAAGTATTTCTATGTGAATGAAGACGATCATGGAAATGAACAGGAACGATTTTGCCCCCTTCTTTGAAAAGTAGAGCCCAATTCATGTCAGGATTTGGAAGTGATGACTTACATTATTCCCTTTTCATGGGCCTTCCTGCTGGGCAAATCCAATTCTTTTTATTAAAGCAAACCCAGCTGCCTGCTGTCTCCTCTGGATTGACTTAAAACTTCAAGTCTCCCCTACGTTGTAGAAATAATTTCAGTTCTCCATTAAATTTGTTGTCTAGGCTTCTTACTTGCTTTTCATGGACAAGTTTCAAAAATAAGATGACAATTGTGTCATAGTGAACAAAAAGCAAATGTTCCTGGGCTATTTAAATTGGATTAAAATATACAATAATCATGGTGACAGTAATATCAAATATGAAGTCCTTTGTCTCTAGACTCTCCAAAAACCTAATTAAAAATAGAGGGAGAGAGAGAATACTTTTCAAGTGGATTTTTTAAAAATGACATTTGCCGCTCAGTCTCTCAACAGCTTTACATATCTGATTCTAACTCATAAGGGAGTTGGGTTGCCTTATTGAAAAGTTTTTCCTTAATGCTTTAGTGGAATGTGAGTATCTATATTAATATTGCATGAGCTGTTTAACCATTTATTATTTTAACTTAACATACTTGGTGCAGAAGCTTCATGTTTCCCTTAGAACATTTTGAAAAACTGCTTAAAATATACATGATGTTATTATTTGAACTGAAGAATAAAACTGTGAAATACTGCCTCTGTGATTATACTAACCAGCCAGAAGGGGGGATTCAGAGCAAGAAGTCTGGGCTCCTGGCTGTCAGTGCAGTGCTCATGGTGGGAAGTGGGATGGATATTCCCTTGGGAGCTGTGATAGGTCACTGTGGTGGACTATGGAGGCCACTTGAGCCTGAGGATTTGGGGCCTTGGGTGAATTTACCATCATGGTTCTACTTGAAGCTTCCATCACAGATTACTTTTTGATATTTGCAATTTCAGAGCAACAAGCTAGAGGAGAAAAGACTTCAAGAAAACCTAAGAAGAGAAAAATTTAGAGGGCATCAGCAATAGTAAGTTTGTGTTTTCAGAACTTCCTACCCATGTGTTCATTCTGCCCTTCAATAGTAGGTGATGGTAATTTTTGAAAACAAGTAGTATTACATTATTGGCTTTTAAATTATAGAATGACTCATTATGTAAGTGAGTTTTTAAGCCTGGGTCATCTATACTTAGCAAAGTGTTCTTTACTTGTCAGTTAATTAGAAATAATACTGATACATTTGAGGAATTCCCCCATTCAAAATAAATTAGGCTTGCTCCTTTGATGACCTGGGGTTTCTTCTGGCCATGTTGACAACCAAAACATTGAAAAGAAAAGCTAGGCACTGATTAACCAGTGGGCTGAGGAGTGTTACATACTTACTATCTATAGGCAAGAACTGAGAAATCATTTTAATTATTGGCAAAGTTCCCAATTTCTGATCATAGACCATGGTATTCTTTCTATTGCCCACTGTGTATAAGGCAATTCCTAGGTGCTTTACAATGTAGTTAATCTACTCTGTGAAGTAGACTTTAAAGATAAGCTTATATCTTAACTCCAACTAGATTCCTGGCAAACTGCTTGAAAAAATAGACAAAACCAATGAGCCATATTTCTGGCTTTAGTTTAATTCCAAATGTGATATAATTGAAATTAAGCAGATCTGGGGTTAAAAATCCTAGCTCCATTCTTTAGCTGTGACCTTACACAAACATCTAAACCTCAAGTTGATTTTCTTTAATAGGGATTAGAGTATCTTTTCATATACCATTTGTAAGCATTAAATAAAGTATCTTATGTAAATTTCATAAAAATACCTGAATTTTATGGGGGCTTGAAATGAAATTTTACAGGGGTTCTTGTTGAATGAGATCATAGAACTTTCATTTTATTTATGCTGTATAGAAATTTCTGTTCTCACCAGAACTGGCAATTGACCTACTTTTATATGGATATTTCTGAATGTCACTTCACCCCTCTTCCTATTATTATACCATATTGGTGAATTCAAGGTAATTTTGATGTTGGGTTGCACACATATGACTTTTTAAATTGTGCTTCTTCTAAGCACTGTGTCCTCTGATTTTCTCATTGCACTGAAATGACCCTGCCTCTGTCATAAGCATTCCTTACATTAAGACTCAGAGGTATTAATGGAAAATATGAAGTTTTTCAGTATTTGATTTTACCCTTTGGAAGATAGATATTTGACCTCTGTTATCTAAGTCACAGAATGGATGGTAGGGGGGGATGAGGTTGAGTGGAGTGCTAATGAGCAGTGCTTTCCTTTGTAAGGAATTATCCTCCTTTCTATTCTAGAATCCAAGACCCTACTCTTCTTCTAAGGCAGGCATGGGAGTGTGAAAGACTAGATGGGAAGCTTAATACCAGGAGAAATTGGCTGCCTTTGTGGGAGAAGTGGTGAGAAGGAAGCCATGATTAAAGGGTCAATGGATGATTGCCTTCCCTTCATGGGTAGTGAAAGGAATAGTTCATTTCTAGGAGTTCAAGTAGGCAATGAAGGCAACAGACTAGAATTACGAAAAGGGCAAATGGGTTTACTTACTCTGTGGCATCCTACTTTACCCTGGGAAAGGGGACCAATCAGAAGTGTTAGGTACAAGCTAGGACATCAAACAAGTTCATTCTTTGTAGAGTTTTAAATTTAAACATTTTAGTGCATACACATGTTGACTCTCATGATACACACCTGAACCATATATGTTATTTCAAAAACAAAAAAAAGCATTTAGTAAAAAATAAGACAAAAATCCAATAAAGTGATGGATGAGAGACTCTTGTAATTTTAAAAGATGTAGGAGGTTGTTACCAATCTCCCTTCTTTCATAGTCTTCCAGCTTCATGAGTTTGTTTTTTTACTAAATACTAGAAATCAATCACCCTTTTTTTGTAAAGTAAAAAAAAAAAAAAAAAGAGTTTTACTCTTAGCCACCTCACACACTATCAGTGGAGCCGAATTCAATTACACGCACATTTCACTCTCGCTCTTTCTTCTGCTTATCGCAAAAGTCCCAGTTAACCAGGAAAAAGAGAAGCTGGCTAAAAATGAGAAGTATCTCAAATTGATTTTTAAAGCCTATTGAGAAACACAAGAAGTATATATATGAGTTTTTTAAAAAGTATTTTGTTTTAAAACACTGTTGAAATTAAACAAGCAATAGCTCATGAAATGAATGGCCATTATATAGCTAAAAATATGAAAGGGACTTCTTAGAAAAGATGGATCCTCTGTTTAAGAATCCGTAGTCATACTTTCTTAGAATCAGTTTATGGTGAAAAAATTGTCTAGGAGTGGTGTTAGAATTTTAATAGCTCAAAGGTTTTTCCAGACCAACCAGGCTGGTCTCCCTCTTCACTTCCTCTCCCAAGTTAGATTCTCTTGTAGCTGTCAAACTAAGGAACAGACTAGAAACACAAATAAATTCTTACAAACTACTCAATAACTCATGCCCTTGCTAGTTTCAACATGCTGTTAGACATGGTTGAAATGGATCAAGAATGGTGGTTTGTTTTCTTCTTCTTTATTTCTGGAGAAAAGAGCAACCGTGGGCTTAAGTAGTCTGTAAATCCATGTTGTTGGAGCATGGATAGTGTCTTGGGGCACCGCCATGAGAACCTTAATGTGCTCTTCTTAACACCTTATTACTGACTTTTGTTCATTTGCTTCTGATTATTTTTAGTGTTGTCAATTATTTAGCTAACAGGCAGAAAACTAGGCTTTTATTGACATCCAAAGGGACTCTCCTGAGTGTAATAATGAAGGCAGTTTATCGAATGCCTGTGAGGTTGCTTTCTAATTGTACACATTAATCTGCCCATGCAAGCTGGCTGAAAATACAGAAGCAGATTGCACGTGCAGATGGAACACACAGGATGGTTTTTATGAAAAGACCTCTGGAATGTACTTCTGCAGTACTGTCTTTTCCTTAAAAATCGAATGACTGTGACTATTTCAATTGCTGGCTGGGAGCAAACCAGATTAATGGTGCATCAAGTCTGCTACTCTGACTGGGGACATACTCAAAATTTCACAATTAGAATGATATCTGGGATTCTTGGGTGTGAACATAAAGCGTCAAAATGGGCATCTAACTTTGATGTAGCTTTTATTTTTACTCTCTGCTTATTTATTGCTTATAAAAATATCAAATGCAATACTTTTCCAGACGAAACCAGTCTACCCAGTGATAATGCTGGTAGATTTGGTGATTTGCAGTAAATTAAGAAAACTTGGTTTTTGTTTTAATAACAAAGAGAAGATGTTGATCCACTTGATTTACAACACTGAGTGAAATAAATCTCAGCATTAAACTAAGTAAGAATTTATTTTGAGGCCACCATTACCTTTCTAATAGTTTTTCTGGATGGATGCAGGAATAGGTTTGAATTCTGAGCCTATCTAATCAGGGGTGGAGACTAAGGATGTGTGGAAACAGTTGAGTATAATATACGGGTATTAGGAAAAACAATGTTTTCTTTTTTTTTTTTTAAGATTTATTTATTTATTCGTACAGAACTGGGGTACAGGCCAGAGATGCGGAGGGTGAAGGACTCACCAGAGACAGAGTGGGGTTCAGAACAGGCAGATCGACGAAGTACACTGCTGAGGGGAGCAGCGGGCTGGTCAGGAGAGATCTGCCGCGCCATGTGGATCTCCTCCGGGGCAGGCGGGGATCGACCTCATGCGGAAGTGGCTTAAGCTTCTCAGTGCCGTGCTTTAACCCGCTGCGCCACCAGGGAGGGCCCAAACAATGTTTTCTTAAGGGTTTGCTGGTTAGATAAGAATTGGGTATCTTTTAAGCATTTAAAATGTTAATGAATACTTAATAAACATTTAATGGAACAAGTGTATTTGTATAGCTTTTAATATTTGTGTAGTTTTAAAAAATACAAATTGCTTGGCTTGTTTAAATAAGCAAAGTAATAATAAGCTGCTGTATTATTGAGAACCCGTGGGTTGTCAGGAGTATTGGTCACATTATGTACATTTTTTTTCAATGAATCTATCATCCTCATTTTATAGATGAAAGGTTTGAGTAATTTAAATTGCTCACACTCACAGGACCAATACATGATGCAGTCCAAACCTGGTCTGAGGTGCAGAGGTTGTGAGGAGTAGGGAAAACAGGTAATTCAGAGGCGTGGTATAGTTTGAAGATCGGAATGTCTGGCTAGGACGGGGGTGATGAGTGCTGTATGATAGAGACACTGTCAGAAGACTGTAGATTAGGTTGGGTCAATTCAGAAAGAATGATTAGGACCAAATTGATGTCTGTCTTCCCATGAAGTCCAGTATTTTACTGAAAGGAGACACAAGAAAAACTGAGGCAATAGCATCTGCTTTCTCTGGTTTTGATCATACGTGGATGACCTAATCTTCAGGTCCAGCACCGGCCTAATACCATCATTAAACTTACTGGAAGTAGATGGATTTTTGTGACTGCTCGTGCTATCCCCAACTCCTGTGTAGGGGAGTTAGAGTTACTAAAATCTCTAAGGGGCAAAAATGCTCAGCTCTTAAAGCCCCACTTGGAAAAGCTCTTAGACCAAAGCTCATTTCAAGACTGGGGCATTTTAGCCTCCAATTTCTAAGCCCCCAGTTGAGCCCAGTCTGCCCAGTTTGAAATGTTGAGAAGTTTTCATTTCCGACATTGGACCCATGTCTCCCTTTTATTTCTAAGTGGATAGTAGTGTGATTAGTTCCTATGAGCCACATCTTCATCTATTTTAGTTTCCTAGGGCTGAGGATCCAGGCAAGTCTGCTGAATGTGCACACTCTGGCCCCAAGTTAGCTTTCTAATATGCTCACAAAACTTCTAATGCCCTTCCTGGGAGTTTCCAAGAGACACTTAAGAGCTAAATTGATCCCTTATCCATATGGTAGACTTAACTCCAGCCTCACATTTTATAATCCGTCTAAGGTGAATCGAAAGTCATCCAATTCATAACTTTTCATCTTATGCTAATGGAGTTGAATTTCTAGATACAAAAAAAAAATCCCCTCTT